GGAGGCCCCCTCCCAATGCACACTCCACCCCCCTCCAGGGCCTCCTGCCTCCCTCCTGGGAACAAGGCCAACTTCCTGTCCCAGGAGTCAAGGGAAGGAGGTAGATGGGGCCTTGGAAAGGGGAGAGTGATCTTCCTAAAACAGGGGTTAATGGCCTGGGGGGGTCCTCAGCCCCAGGTCCTGGACAGCTGTTCTTTAGACTGGCTGTAGCTGTCACTTGTAAGAATGTACAAATATGTCCTCCTCATTTGCTTGGTATTTACTGAATGCCCCAGCGCTCAGCCAACTCCCCCAGCTCTGGCTTCTCCCACAGGGTCCCTTCAACTTCCCTCCTCCTCCCTCGTGACCATCCAGTGGAAGGAAGGCTGATATAATCCTGAATTTTGGATGAGCCCAGTTTTGGGAGTCTTCTGAGGGCTTGTCTGCACTGGGTCTAGCCTGAAGCCTCTCCCTGCCTAGAAACTCCAGTTCTCTAGGCCAGGAAGTCTGTCTCCAGGGTACCTTGCCAGAAGGTGGCATCTGTGTGGCAAGGCCTAGGCCTTGGCTTATAAATGGGGAGGGCACTGGCTCTGCAAATCTGCTCCTTCCCCCCTCCCCCCCCCCCCCCCCCCCAGTCCTGGCTGTGTCCCAGCTACATTCCAGGCCTCTGGCCAGGTGGGCAATTGGGCCTGGCCTAGTCTAGCCCTCAGTCCCCACTATGCTATGGGTGACGGGGCACTGTGGCCACTGGGTGAGGGTAATGTTCCTCTGCCCCGTTCCCCCTTCTGTCTATGGCATACAACCCTAACCTGGAGCTCTCGCACACACTGCTTTCTAGTGCTGCCTCCTGAGGGGCACAATTCCCCTCCCCGCCAAGTCCCCAAGCAGCCTCTGGCCTCACTGGTCTCAGATACTGCGCACCCAGGCCCAGCAAGAGAGTGACTGTTGTGAGGTTTAGGGGCACATTAAAAAGTGGGAGGGGGGCTGGGTGGTTAGGACCCCTGGGGCTTTGAGTCCCTCCCCAGAATGTCTGAAGGGAGATGGGAGAAGGATGAGAATCTCTCTGCTAGTCAAAGTTAACTCACTGGGGGCCAGCGGGAAGGGAGCAGCAGACCCCCTTGGACCCTCACCCTTCTCCTGCCTGGAACATTCCAGATCCCATCAGCCTCTCCCCCAGAGGGCCCCCCACCCCTCACTTCTAAACTTTGGGTTTGTTTGGAGAACCCCCTCCACCCACACCCCCCTCCCTTCCTGGAAATAGCTGTGGTTGGATGAGAGGCTGGGAGCCTGGCCACGGAGGAGGGGTGAGGCCCAGCGAAGGAGAGGTTGGCCGAGTCCACCGGTATGCTCAGGGGGCAGAAGCAGAAGGGGGCTGGCGAGCTGGGGAGTCCGAGTTGGCCTCATTTGGCCTTCTGCCTCAGTGTCCCCGATGGGAAGCAGAAGAAAACGCTCACAGGCACTCTTGCCAGCCCAGGGCCCAGGGCCTGAGCAGCCACCCTTTGCCAGCTGCGTGGGTGGGTGGGTGGGGGGCGCGCGGAGTGCGGGAGACGCCGTGCGTGCGCGAGGGGCGCGGGAAGGTCAGGGGACCGCCGAGTGTGTGTGTGGGGACCGCGGCCGCGCCCCGCCCCCTGGCCACCTTCCCGGCCTCGGCCCTTCGCTGGCCGCGGCCGTGGGTACCCCCGCACCCCTCTCGTTCCCCGGCGCCCGCCCCCGGCCCTGCCCGCCGGCGCGGTGTGACGCAGAAGCCGCCGCCCTCCCGGCGTGGCGCGGCCACTCACCTGCGGGGGGCGCCCGGCGGGACGGGGGCGCGGCGGGGCGGGGCAGCAGCAGGGGGCGCCCCCGGGCCAGCCCATCCCGGCGGGCTGCGCCGCGGGGACGGCACGCGGCGGCGGCGGCGGCGGCGGCGGCGGGCGCGGGGCCCGGGGCGCGCTCGGCTGGTTCCCTCCCGCCCCCGCCGCGCCCTGCGCCCTGCGCCCGCCGCTGCCGCCGCCTCCTCCCGCCCTCGCGGCTCCCCTCCTTCTTCCCGGGCTCCAATCCCCACGTTCTGCCCGCTCCCCGCCCCCTCCTGCTCCCGCGAACCCACATCACAAAGCGCAGTGGGAGAGCGCGCAGCCTGGCCCAGGCCGGGCCGCGCCGGGCCGCGCAGACCCGGGGAGGCGGAGAGAGCCTGGGGACGGCTTTGGACCCGCGGGCCACGGAACGGGGACAGTCTCAGGGGGCCAGTGGGAGAGGTGTCGCAGTAAAAGAAGTCGGAGAAGCCACAGGCCGCAGGCGCCCAGGCGAAGAGAATACGCGTGAGTCAGAAAGACGCAGAAGCTGGGACGCGTGACGTCCGGCCTGACCCTCTTCAGGACTGCCTTGGGCCTGGCCCGCGGGGTGTGTGCGCCAGACGCGGGTGGAAACACCTGGTGCTGCTTACTGGTGGCCCGGTCACCGGACAGCGCCTCCTGCCGCTCTGCCTCACGGGGAGGCGTCTCTGCCACCTCTTCCCCCAAAGGCCTCAGCTGAAGACTCACAGCACCCACTTCCACCCTCAAGCAGCTTCAGTCACGGCACCCATTGCCCTACTTCGGGGAGTTGGGCTGTGGTGGTTCACTCAAATCCCAGACTTCCCAATGGAAGTCCCTTCTATGGCCTAACCGCATTCCCTTTTTCAGTGTCCATAAGAAACTCTGCAATTGAGCCAACTAGCCATGGGGCTGTTTTGAGTTCTGGCACTCTGGAGGTGAAGGTAGAAAGTGGGTCGGATGAGATGGGGTTGCCTGTCCTGTGCGGATGCTGTGAGCCTACTGCCAAGCCCAGCGATCCTTAGCAGGGAACATTTCTAAATCTTTGCCCTGCTGTCACCCTTCCCACTGGAATTTCCAGGATGAAAAGTGGAGGCCAGGGGTGGGGGTGGGGGGTGTTATTCTGAGAAGCTCCTGCCAAGGCTTATTGCCTGGTACCTGCTCAAAGCAGCCAGCCAGTCAGCGCTGTGGCTCTAAAGCCATCTTTTGCTCCATCACTCAGCTGAATCCTTGGAGCTCATCTTGCCTTTGGCAAAGGCTAGGAGGTCTGGAGCACCTGATTCCAATCTGGCTGGGAAGCAGGGCCTGGTACAGTGTGGGTCCCCTTGAGACTAGCATTTGGGAGGGAGGGAGTGTGCTGGGGCCTGGGAGCCTTTATCTTAGAGCTGTTGGCAGTAAGAGGTCAGAGCAGCAGGAGTCACTGGAGGAAGGGTTGGGAAGTGGGGGAGGCTAGGGAGGCAGAAGGGAAGGCCCAGGATAATGGCAGGGATTGGAGGTTACCCAGGGTAAGGGGTGAGGGCATCCTGTATATTTTGGCAAGATTTGATTTATATAATTGAAATACACGAAGTTTGAAAAGTTGTTAATTTGTTTAGCGCCCGCCCCCCCCCCCCCCCCCCAGCATTCCTTAGGGCTTTGGACGCTGGGATGCAAGCCATAGAGGTGGTATCGCTGACATGCCTGGCTGGCCAATAAAAGAAACCTCTGAAGTTCCAAGCAATTGGAAGGGGGTCAAAAGATGAGGAGCTGTTTAAGATAGCTCCCAACTCAGGTTTGATTTATACTCTCAAGGTCAGCAAAGAGGGCAGTCTGCAGGAAGAAAGCCTATGAGAACTTATATAGGAGGTAGCTTGGGTGGGGGGGTGAAATAAAAAAAATAGGTGGTTTGTGGAATCAGCTGACAGGAGAGTCGGGCTACTTGGTGAAGGTGAAGCAGGGTCAGGAGCACCCACTCTCTGACCTCCTGCCATGCACACTTTCTTACCTTGACTATGCAGAAGGAGGCCCATCTCGGTACCAAAGCTGGAACTCCCTCTCCTGCTGTCTGAGGTGATCCCATGTCTGTGATTCCGTGTACTCAGGTTCTTGGAGTGGACTGTAGGATGGGGGCTTTGAGTGTTGGGTTGTCCCAGCTGGAAGACCACTGTATCAGGAGAACTTCAGTGGAGGTTTTGGGTGCTGGGAACCAGGAAGAGCGGGGGAAGGGGCAGAGGCGGATCTCCGGGCCCAGGACAGAGCTTGCATTGTCCAACTGGGAGGTTGCTGAAGTTGGGCGGGGAATAGCGGTCTTTTCCAAACTTTTTTGGGGGAGGCAAGTCTCCCGTCACTTGTGGCCCTGGGGGCTGCAGTGGTTGCCCAGAAACAAGACTTATTTGACAAATAACTGCTTCCTAGGAGCAGATGTGTAGTTCCCCCCCTTTTAGAAACCAGATGCTGTGCACTTGTGACACCCTTAATCACAAACTAGAACCCTCTTTGCTTTGGGATCCAGATACAGTGCTCAGTAAGAGAAAACTTGGCCCTGTGTTCTGGAATACGCACGTCACTCAGTGGGTTTTGCTGATGCTTGTCTACAGACAACCCAGCTCCCAATAGCTCCACATTTACAGAACGTTGGAGTTCAGGGCTGCTGTGCCCTGGAGGCTTTCCTTTAGCGGGACTTTGGGAAGGGTTCATACCTGAGTCTTGCTTTTCCTCGACTTTAGAGTACCTTCTTGGGACTAATCTAAAGATTTTCCTTTTTCTTGCTTCTTAGTGTTTAGATATTCCACTTACCTTGTCCATTTACCCAGCAGACCTGGGTGTTGCCAGCTTAAGGTCACACTAGAAGGCTTTCACATTACAGCTCAGAGCCTTCCTTACCAGTTTTGGGGAGCAGAGATCAACGGGCTTGCTAGAAACTTGTATATTTCCTGGGCTTTCAGTACCCCATTCCCCTAGTTACTGTAGGGATTCTCTGCCATTGTCCTAACCCCTTTCCTGCTTTTCAACAATGAACAGTCTGTCCCAGGCTGTTTGGAAAATTCCCATTAAATTTGAGGTGTGATTCAGAAGAGTTGGGATGCAAAGCCTCAAGTATCAAAGCTGCACTCAAGTTGATTTCCCTCATGATGGGTGTGGAATGCTGGGTGAGAACCTCAAGAGATTGTGGAGAAATATGCATGCTATAAATGTGAGTCCAACAAAAGGCACTGGAGGTATGTGGAGTTTTGTCAAAGAATTTCAGCATTAAAATGAACTTGAAAGATCAGATTTATTTGGAGAAAACAAAAAACCCACAACCCAAAGGATGGGATTTTACATCTCAAGACATCTCCCAGGTAGTAAGTCTACAGATTACAAATCATTTTCATAGAAGATATTTTTGTACAAATTTTACAGGTATTCAGGAGCGGGACAAATCAACCCCTGTTTTATTTCAACAGGGAACAAGGTAGGAGTGTGGGATAAAACAGCTTTTTTGGATGCAACTATTTGGACAATAGACAAGAAGAGGGCAAACTACCTTTTCATTGTCTACAATCACTGTTTCTTTAAAAAGTTTTATTTAAAAAACCCATTCAACTCTCTAAAAAGCTCACTTCCTAGCTACTAGCCAATCCTGCCAATTTCTTAAGGTTACTTGGTGTACCCTTTTCCACTGGTAACTGATCTTTTAAGTCCACTGCTGCAGCGCACACACATGCACACGCCAACACCCCTGGCATGGCTGGACAGGATCTAACAAGGCTTGCAAACAAAGAGACCAAGGTGTCTTTATTTTGTCTGCAGGTACCAATACTCCCCACAATGGGGAAGGGATATTAGCCACTGAACTGACCCCTACAAAGGTGCATGTCAAAGCAGACAAAGCTACTGTGTAGCAAGAAAAACTAGACCTTGTTACATAGTTCTTTCCATTATTATTTATTTTCTCAAGGGGAGCTAAGAAAACCAACCCCAGAAAACAAAACACCCTATACATTGGTCTAGGCCACATTATAAATCCAAGCATCAGTGTGAAATTTCAGTGGAGGGAAGAACCGTGAAAACATCAAGGTTCTAAGAAAGGCTCTTGATTCAACTGTCCTTATCTATCCACTCTTATTCCTTACCCAAGTCATCAATTCTAGAGTATTCTGATCTGTAAAAGGAGTCAAAACAGCAGGGGCAGGCACAGACAGAGGGAAGGAATAGTAAAGAAGGTAAGCCAGTCAGTAAGCCACTGGCTTAGAAACGTAGCTGCTTCCTCATGCCACAGCTTCCAGCTACTATCAAATGCCTTGGAGAGCAGGTATGTGACTTAATGCTTTTGGAGGAGCAGAATGGACATGAGATGAAGAGTCTGAATTTCTACAGTTTCCAGGTTTCAAGAGAATGTGGATGTATTTGAGCTTTCAGAAAGGACAGAATTTAGAAGGGCAAAACCAGGCTACACAAGACAGATCTCCCACACCCCCAAGTCCTACTCACAAGAAAAAAAAAAAAAAGCCATGTTTTTGGAGGTCACACCATTCCCCGACTGCCTGGTACAAAATAATCTGTCACTTCTCAAAAGTTTTTCAAACCACAATTTCCCCATTTATCTTGGTCCCCAAGCGGTCCTCTTTACTAGTGGCCTGTAGACTCACTTCCATCTACCCCCCTGGGGGGTAAGAAAATAAAGTAGTTTCCCCTAGGCTGACCCCAATAACTCAGAGTTAAAGTAAGAGAAAGGGCTGTCAGCCTCCTGGAGACTAAAACAACATGAGACTAAACCTACCTTTCCAAAGATGGAAAATTTATTCAGATAATGTTTGAGAATTCATATATGCCACAATAAGATAAGAATTAAAAGGTAGACAAACATTTCTTTCACTCTTCCTTCTACCTCCCCTACTGCCCAACTGATCCAGACATGTACCACTGGCACTACCATTTCTGTTAATGGAGCCCCTAGGCACTAATCGCACAGGCAGCTGCATGGTATCATCAGATAGCACCACAACTTCCCCTTCAAAAAGCCACAGTCTGTCTCTCTGGCTACATTGGTGATTCTCCATTACTTCAATACTTTAAAGGCTGCAGCAGCATGCAAAAGAATCTCATTTTTTAAAAAAAAGTTAAGAAAGGTCTCCAGGAGATGGTGAGCTTTATTTTGTCTTGTCTGGATAGAGGTTTGATTTGCTCTCGAATGAATGTTCCAGGGTGGAGAGAGACTAGGAGAAAGCACAGGATGTAGATGTCTATTCGGTGTAATCTTCTCCCTCGTTTTCATCTTCACCATCCACAGAGAGAGCAGCATACTTGCTTGCAGAACTGAACTTCTGTAACATGAGATGACAATGTGAGAAAAGCCTTAAGATTCTCACAACCAAAAAACAAGGAACAAAATGCTGATGCTTGGGAAACAGGCAGGGAACAACAGGAAAAAAGCCCATCTCAACACAATGACTTATTTTCAACTACTCTGCAAGGAAGTTATTTTCTTATTTTCAACTACACTATAAATGAAGGGAGTCCAAATAGCTAAGAGAAATAAAAATTAACCAGTTACCAGTGGCTCACACTTGTATAATCTTACTCAGGAGGCTGAGATCTGAGGATCACGGTTCAAAGCCAGCCTGGACAGGAAAGTCTGTGAGACTTATCTTCAGTAAACCACCAGAAAACCAGAAGTAGTGCTGTGGCTCTCAAGTGGTAGAGTGCTAGCCTTGAGCTGAAGAGATGAGAGATAGTGCCCAGGCCCAGAGTTCAATCCCCAAGACTGACAAAAAATAATAAGCCCTTGACACTTACAGAGGCTGGATTTTCCTCAGGTTTCTTTGGCTCAGGTGCAGATCTAGAGTCTTGATCCTTTTTGCCATCTTTCCTGCAAAGATGTAAGCATAAAAACCACATCTTTGGAGAAAACTCTCACTACAAAAGGTAACCTGTGGTGCTCTAAGGCACTGAATAGGTACCCTAGTCAAAAGTTCACATTATGTGGACATTGTTAGGTTTCTAGATTCCTTGGATATAACTGTCTTTAATGGCTAGCTTTAGTTTGTTCACAGTAACTTGGCAGTACTTGGAGATCTAAGAACTTGTTACAAAATCATTTGCATCTAACATCAAATGAAAGACAAACAAAGATAATTTGTGCGTACCTATCTGACTCCTTCCAGTGGTCTTTGTTCCCGCCATCTCCTGGACCACGGCTGGAGCTCCCAGTTTGGCCTTTTGCAACACTCATCCCATCTATTTTATTTTCATCTGCTTGAGTAAAATCAAAGGCACATCAAATAATTACTCTCCCTATTCTGTATTTCCCCTCAGATCTGCTCTGCCTTATTTACTTGTCAGTCGTGGGGCCTGAATTCTGGGGCTGGGCACTGTCCCTCAGCTCTTCAGCTCAAGGCTAGAGCTCTACCACTTGAGGCAAGCACCACTTCGGCCTTTTCTGCTTATGTGGTACTGAGGAATCAAGCCCAGGGCCTCATATATGCAAGGCAAGCACTCTACCACTGAGCCACCTTCCCAGCCCCTCTGCCATATTTATTGAGAAGTTAACTGTCACTCCACCCAAGTCTCCTCATAAAAGCCTTTCTTCCTAAGATCTCTGTAGGTATGTATCTTACCAACACCAAGAAAACCCCCCAACCCATACACCAAAGACTCATTAAAAAAGTTCCACTGTTGAGAGTATACCATCTTAAAAAGAAAAATGGAAAAGAAGACTAGGAAAATCTGCAGTAACCCTGGTCTTGCTAATGGTGACATTTCTAACATGGATAGAGACTATTCTAATTTTCCTATCTTCCTTTCAAAGAAAGGGTCTACCAGAAAAGGGCAGGGCCTCAAGTGCTGAAGAGGCCTCTCCTGCCCTCTACTGGCAGGAAAACGTAGGTTACCAAAGAAGTGTTAAGAACAGAGTGCAAACTATACCAATAAAAATTTCTTGGAGTAAGCCGGGCGCTGGTGGCTCACATCTGTAATCCTAGCTACTCAGGAAGCTGAAATCTGAGAATCACAGTTCAAAGACAGCCCAGACAGGAAAGTCCACGAGACTCTTATCTCCAATAAACCACTAGAAAACTGGAAGTGGCGCTGTGGCTCAAGCGGTAGAGTGCTCACCTTGAGCTCAAGAGTACAAGGACAGCACCCAAACCCAGAGTTCAAGCCCCATGACCGACAAAAAAAAAATTCTTGCAGGGGACTGCTGGCTCACGCCTGCAATCCTAGATTTTCAGGAAGCTGAGATCTGAGGACTACGGTTCAAAGCCGGCCCAGGCAGGAAAGTCCGTGAGACTCTAGTGGTGCTGTGGCTGAAGTGGTAGAGCACTAGCTTGAACTGAAGCACTCAGGGACAGGGCCTAGGCCCTGAGATCAAGCCCCATGACTGACCAAAAAGGAAAAAAAAATTTTTTTTTCCTTCTTGATGCTTGGAGGGGGATATGGTAGTACATGTACTTAATTCCAACCAGATAAATAGCTACCTCTTCTAGGGTCTTACCTTTCCTTGCTGGTCCTTCCTCAGATGGCTGAGCTGGAGCTACTTTTCCCCCACCACTAGAAGGAAAACAATCATATCCATCAGTTTCAGAAAGAAAACAGAAAACTTAAATGCAGTTAGATTTCATAGAAAACTAACAAGAACCTCCTACCTTTTTTTTTTTTTTTTTTTGCCAGTCCTAAGGCTTAACTCAGGGCCTGGGCACTGTCCCTGAGCTTCTTTTGCTCAAGGCTAGCACTCTACCACTAGAGCCTCGGTGCCACTTCTGGCCTTTTCTGTTTATATGGTACTGAGGAATCAAACCCAGGACTTCATGCATGCTAGGCAAGCACTCTACCACTAAGCCACATTCCCAGCCCAAGACAACAAAGCAGTAATTCCAAGATTCAAGTGTCATATGCTTTAGAAGCATCACAGCTGTGTAAACTGAGGAAAAGTACTCCTTTTTGCAAATTTGAGAAGACTTCAGCTCCAAGTAATATAAACCCAAAGCCACCCTGTCAATGTGTAAGAAGTGTCAAGAATTTTAGTGTTTGCAGATCTGTGGTGTAGGCATTCCCATCATAGCCAGTTTCGAGATACTAAAGTGTTGTGTACTGGTGACCCAAAACTCCAGAAAACCAGGAGTGGGTGGGGGAATGAAATATGGAGGGGTTGAGTTTTGAGTATGAAGGTGTGTTCTATATGTACGCAAACATCATAACGAACCCTCTATGTACAATTATGTTAAAACAAACACCCTTCACCCCTATAAAAAAAAAACAAAAACAACAAAAAAACCTGCACACCATTGGCTCTCGTGAAGCAGCTCTAGTATTTCACTGAGTCTGAACTAAGAGAATAAAGGTATCATAACTTGTAAGATCGTATGTAAGGCCAATATTCCACAGGGTGTTTTCCATCATGATTATCACAATTCTGATTCCAGGCTAAGCAGCTGCTGCCCCAGGCCAACTCACCTTGTAGGGGATTGCTGTTCTGTGTCTGAGCTCTGAGATCGAGCAGGAGGGTTAAAACTTCGCTTCACCCACGCATTCTCCTTTGGTGGAGGGGCTGGCATTACCTTTAGAGGCTGATCAGGTTTAGGAGGCTTAGAAGTTGGAGAGTGACAGTCTTCCTCCTTATTGAGTGTTTCATTTTCTAGAGACTTCTCACTCTCTCTCCTTCGTGCATCTATAAAGTCAAATTGGGAAGGTGAAATTATCGGGGGGAAAAAAGGTAATTGTAGATCCTTGGTATCCTGCTATAGATTCATGGAGACTACCACTGAGGGAAAACAGGATATATAGTTAGCTACTATACTATGTATGCTGAGTTCTTCCCATAATGCAGTCCAACCTCAGGTCAACGCTTGACACATTCCAACAAACCAAAAAACTACCACTTAACTTTTATAACCTGCTTTTGGGACACTGTTACTTTTGGGGAGGTATATTTTCACAAAATTAAAGGCAGTAGCAGATCACACACGATTTAAAGACAAGTGACAATAATGTGGGGCTGAGAACTCCATACAATGAACTGAATAATGCATGTGGGGAAATTTTAGACCTGCAAATAAGGTGAGCTTACTATTAAAGTGGGGACCTTAATTTGACTCTTAAATACATCAATCTCTAAACCAGTAATTTACAAATACCTTTTTGAGAAAGTTCTTTACTATGTACAGGGAAATAGAAAAAATGACTGCATAATCTTGAAGGACAGCAATTTGATCTTTCCATGGTATGATCTTTCCATTATCTGAAGAATAATGTGGACATACACAGGAAGGAGAGCTACAACGAAACCTCGCAGAAACTACTGCTCAACTAACTCCACACGGAATAATGCAACTGCATCTATATATTATTGGGAACCAAAACACACAGGGATAGGTATTTCGCAGGACTTCTCTACATTTGAAGTGTAAGCTCCACAGAAGTACAAACTAACCCACCATGTTTCTACTTAGCATAAAAAAGGGGACATTATGCCATGTTACTGAGTCTGCCAACACAATCATTTACAGAAAATTCCTACAATGTATAGATGAATTCCCAAGAAGCTATGTTTTGAAATAGTTCAGGTACAAACAAATCTTTAAAACAAACTAAGAGAAACCACTGGCATTCAATAAAGCAAAGGAGGTGTTATCAAATCATTCAGGTCTCTACAACAGCAGACATGCTTGTAAATACCACATTAACTAGTGAGGAAAGAAACTGTTATGATCATACCACTAAAAAAGGCTGGCTCTAAGAAAAGCTCACAGGAACTTGGGCTGACTTTGAACCTCAACCTTCAGATCTCAGCCTCCTAAGTAGCTAGGATTATAAGCATGAGCCACCAGTACCCAGCTTCACAGGAACTCTTGAAGTGTGACTGTTCCAAACAAACAAAACTCAAAGATCTCAAGACAGGAAATAAAGGCTAATTCTAAAAAGTATATTGTTTGATAGTAGATTATTTTTTTACTTTTTTTTTTTTGGGGTCTGGTCGTGGGGCCTGAATTCTGGGCCTGGGCCTCAGCTCTTCAGCTCAAGGCTAGTGCTCTATCACTTGAGCCACAGCGCCAGTTCCGGCTTTTCTTTTTGCTTATGTGGTACTTAGGAATCGAACCCAGGGCCTCCTGCATGCAAGGCAAGCGCTCTACCACTGAGCCACCTTCCCAGCCCCTGATAGTAGATTATTATCATGATGTCCATGTTTTGGCGCCAATACTAGAGCTTGAACTCAAAGTCCAGGCACTGTCCTTAGCTTTTTTGCTCAAAACTGGTACTCTATTACTTAAGCCACAGCCCTATTTCTGGCTTTCTGGTAGTTAATTGGCGATAAGACTTTCCTGGGATGACTTTGAATCTTGATCCAGGGGCAGGTTTCCCCCTGTGGTATTTAGGATTATAGGTGTGAGCCACTGGCCCTGCTGGTGGTAGACTTATATATGTTATAGAAGTCCATTTTGATGCCCATTCTGTTGACTTTTTGGAGCAAGAGAAATGATACCCAGATCAGTCCATGTTACCTCAGAATTGATGACTGAAATACTGCAAAATTTCTTCATGCTTTGATTATAGACAGTTTGTGGAAAATGGCAGTAACATGATACCCACCCTGATCTGACTTACTTCTGCCAGATGTGGCGGAAGTCCCAGTCTGTGATGATTCACTTCCTGTCCTTGATCGTTCTCGTTCCTGAGTTTCTTCACTTCGCCAGCTTGGGTGTCTGCACAAGAGATTTTACACTGTGTTTTGCTAAACTAAAGCTACCATGAAGGAACTAGATTGTTTGCATGTAAAACAGAATAAAAGAACCTGTTGAAATTGCTTTTAGCTTTAGGCTGAGAGAGGAGGTAAGATTTTTGGTTAGAATACACTGTATTCATGTGTGGAAATGCCACAATGGCCTCTACCCCTGTTGAACTAATATATGCTAAATAAAACAAAAAGCTACTTAGACCTATTCTGACCCCTAACCATCACTTATTAATATTTTATCACAGTCAAATGTTCACATGTTTCTCACAAACTATATGTAAGCTAGATACTATGACACATTTTACCTCTGTCACCAAGAAGCGAGCTAATAAAAACATTCTCCTATGTAGTACAACATTGGTTTCTTATACTCTGAACACATTCATAATGCCTAGCTTTTCATTCCATTTACTATGATGTGATACAATGTCACTTTCTAACAATAAGTATTTTTGTAATGGGTTCTCCACTGTCCTGAACTAACAGTGAAATAACAGAACCAGAATATATACCAATGAAGAAAGAACATGTTCTTTTTTTTTTTTTTTGTCAGTCGTGGGGCTTGAACTCTGGGCCTGGGTGTTGTCCCTCAGCTCTTCAGCTCAAGGCGAGTGCCCTACCACCTGAGCTACAACGCCACTTTCGATTTTCTGGTGGTTTTTATTGGAGGTAAGAGTCTCACGGACTTTCCTGCCCGGGCTGGCTTTGAATCGTGATTCTCAGATCTCAGCCTCCTGAGTAGCTAGGATCACAGGTGTGAGCCATCAGCGCCCGGCTGAGAGATTATGTTCTATTCCACTCAAATAACCTGAAGTATCAACCAAGAGTTGGTGTAGAACTTTCTGAATACCCTCCACTGAGGCACACTAGTCACAGAGGGGAGGCCTCACCTCTCTCGGGGCCGCCGTTCTAGTTTTGGTTCATCCAGCTGCCGCTGCAGTTTCTCCTGTTCCTTTTGTAGTCGTTCTTCCACTTCTCTTTCTCTAGCAGCGGTGTCAACAGGCTTTGCCCCTCCAAAGATAGAAGCCGCTCGACTGGACTGCGAGGTGCTAGCAGAGGAATCATCTTCTTTAGGAGTACTCCGAGGCTTTAGATTCAGTTTGGGTCTTTGGGGGGGACCTAAGTAATAGTTTCCAAATTATCAGAAACTGATGGCTGAAAGCAGATTGCCAGATATAGCTCTTATGAACTGTTACATGGGATTCAGTCAGTGGTCTAGCCAATCCAGAAGAGGTGGATGGAAGATCATAAGAAGATGGGTAGCTTAAATAACCAAGTTCAACTTTTTGGTTCCCTACCAAAAAGTTTAGAGTACTAGCATACAGCAAAGAAATTATTTTACCTATTAAAAAATGATCAACCAAGCCGGGCGCCGGAGGCTCATGCCTGTAATCCTAGCTATTCAGGAGGCTGAGATCTGAGGATCTCTGTTCAAAGCCAGCCCGAGCAGGAAAGTTCGTGAGACTCTTATCTCCAATAAACGGCTAGAAAATCGGAAGTGGTGCTGTGGCTCAAGCGGTAGAGCTGAAGAGCACAAGGACAGCGCCCAAGCCTGGAGTTCAAGCCCCACGACAAAAAAAAAAAAAAAAAAAGGACAAAACTGACCCTTTCTCAACAATAATATGGTCCGAGCTAGGCACAGGTGGGTGGCTTTTGCCTATAATCATAATCCTGGCTACTCAGGAAGCTAAGATTGTGCAGGAAAGTCTGTGAGACTTTTTTTTTTGGGTCTGGTCATGGGGCCTGAACTCTGGGCCTGGGCACTGTCCCTCAGCTCTTCAGCTCAAGGCTAGCGCTCCACCGCTTGAGCCACAGCGCCACTTCCAGCTTTTTTCTTTTTGCTTATGTGGTGCTGAGGAATTGAACCCAGGGCCTCAGGCATGCAAGGCAAGCGCTCTACCACTGAGCCACCTCCCCAGCCTCTGTGAGACTCTTATCTCCAATAAACTGCTCAGAAAAGCCCCAAGTGGTGCTATGGCTCAAGTGGTAGAATGCTAACCTTGAGCAGCAGAAGCTCAGGGACAGAGCCCAGTCCAAGAAGTTCAAGCCCCAGGATTGGGAAAAAGAAAAGAAAAGAAAAGAAAAAAATATGTTCTGGAAAATGAGTATCTTTAACAGGTAAAACAGGAACACAACAACATGACTGAAAAAAGCTAGTCTTTTTTGAGTCACAGTTGGAGGTTTGAACCGTGATCCTCAGATCTCAGCCTCCTGAGTAGCTAGGATTACAGGTGTGAGCCACTGGTGCCCTGCTCATATTTCTCTTTGTCACTAGATGATAGGTATGCGCTCAGCCATTGGTTAAGGCTGGCCTTAAACCACAATTTCCCAATCTCTGCCTCCCAAGTAGCTATGATACAGGCTTGATCTACCAAGTTTGGTAAAACTCTTGTTTTTACTCTCTTCTCTAAACCCAAAGCCACTATGCATGACAGGCAGGTGTTTTACTACTAAGTCAAGTTTTAAGTCCAGAAAATTGTATTTCTGTAAACTATTGTTTATCTATACGTAAGATCTATGTGTACAACCAGCTGGTTTAAGACAATGAGCTGACTCTCAGTTACTGGGTGCTAAATTTGGTGATCATGTCCATACATGATAAACATATGTATCTGTAAACAAGGTACTATTTAATAAGACTTAAATTCCTTATAAGGGCCAGAAGGTAATGATGACAGCTTCTGGGACATATTTTCAATCTGTGTAACTTTGTGAAGACACCATTATCTTTTTTTTTTTTTTTTGCTGGTTGTGGGGGTTGAAATCTGACCCACAGCGCCACTTCTGGTTTTCTAGTGGTTTATTGGAGATAAGAGAGTCTCACGGACTTTCCTGCCCGGGCTGGCTTTGAACCGTGATCCTTAAGATCTCAGCATCCTGAGTAGCTAGGATTATAGGTGTGAGCCACCAGTGCCTGGTTCATCATCCCATTCTTGTCCAGTGCTGTACTAGGCTCTGTTCTTTGCAATTTACCAATATGTACATTTTGTTTCAAACTGAAGATAGTATAAACATAATCGACTGTAAAATTTGCAGTTTTCCTAGTGTCTACTCCATGGATAGGAAAAGAAAATGGTTACCTCTATCATCACGCCTATAGTCATCCCGAGAGTACTCATCTCTGGAGCCCCATGAGCGATCGTCTCGCCTCTCATATCGGTCTTCATAGCGGTCCCCGCCTCCTCTGTAGTCATCATCTCGGCGGTACCCGCTACCAAATGCTCTTCTACCACTGCCTATCCTGGAATCGTAGCCTACAAATACACCAAGTCACAGGCCTTACACACGCAGGGAGGAAAGAAAGGAGTTCTGGAAGAAAGTACTTGGAATTGTGTCCTGTAATTACCCCTGTCATACTCTCTGCTGCCACGGTCGTCATACCGATCCCGGCCCCCGTAGCGATCCATATCCCGGCGTGGGCCATCCCGATAGCCATCTCGATAGCCATCCCGATACCGGTCTGAATCGTAACGATCTCGATACTCTAGAAAGAAGACAACAGGTAACACCTTCCCCCCTTTTCTTTCACAGCATTAAAGAATATGAAACTGGATACAAGTGGTTCACACCTTCAATTTTAGCTGCTCAGGCACTTGAAACCTGGAGGATGGCAGTACAAAGCCAGCTTAGACAGAAAAATCTGTGATTCCGTCTCCAATTAACCAGGAAAATGCTGGACTAGATACTATATGATAAACACATATACTGTAATGATTAAAGTAGTAAAATTGTCATCTTTTAACTCTTTTCCCAACAGACTAGGAAGAGTTTATTAGGTATTTCACAAAACTATAGTTTGTGAATTTCTAGTTCTTTTTTCTTTAAATGTTTTTATAACAAGTTTATGATTCCATTACTTATGTTTAAAATTTTTTTTGTGCGTGCTGGTCCTAGGGCTTGAACTCATAGTCTGGGCACTGTCTCTAAGTTTCTTTTGCTCAAGGCCAGCACACTACCACTTAAGCCACAATTTCACTTTGGCTTTTTTATAGTAGTTAATTACAGGCATGAACCACCAGTACCTGGCCCAGAGAACATTTTTCAAAAGTAATGTGCTACAGATGTAGTACATTAACCCCATATACAATATTATTCTATTTTTGTAATTTATGTATTAACATTTTATAGCACTACTTTTAAATTTCAGTTTTTCCTATCAACACACTAGATTTTAACTTTTATTCTCATCATTACACATATTATATTGACTATTGTATTTTATTTTTTGCCAGTCCTGGGGCTTGAACTCAGGGGCCTGGCCACTGTACCTAAGCTTCTTTTGTTCAAGGTTAGCACCACTTGAGCTACAGAACCACTTCCAGCCTTTTTTCTGTTTATGTGGTACTGAGGAACCGAACCCTGAGCTTTATGCATGCCAGGCAGGCATTCTACCACTAAGCCACATTCCCAGCTCACTGTATCTAAATATCTAAGTTTCTAGTTTACCTGTCTTGTTACAATAGTAACAAGTATAGTATAGTATAAATAAATACCTAGTGATAGAACTTTAACTCAACTATGCATAGAAGTAAATAAGCCTGGGGCTGGGAAGGTGGCTCAGTGGTAGAGCACTTGCCTTGCATGCATGAGGCCCTGGGTTCGATTCCTCAGCACCACATAAGCAAAAAGAAAAAAGCTGGAAGTGGCACTGTGGCTCAAGTGGCAGAGCGCTAGCTTTGAGCTGAAGAGCTGAGGGACAGCACCCAGGCCCAGAGTTCAGGTCCCACGACCGGACCCCCCCCCCAAAAAAAGAAGTAAATAAGCCTCTTTTATTAAAAAAAGAATAATTTATCAAATTCTTCCGTAGTCATTAAGCCTTCAGGTATTATAGAAGTCCCGCCTGCCACCCCCGCCAAGCTGGGCACTGGTGGCTCAGGCCTATAATCCTAGCTACTTGAGGCTGAGATCTGAAAGACCGATTCAAAGTCAGCCCAGGCAGAAAAGTTCATGAGGTGCTTGTTTCAAAATAATACAACAGTAAGACATGGGTGACTCATGCCTATAATCCTAGCTACTCAGGAGGCTGAGAATCTGAGGATCGTGGTTCAAAGCCAGCCCAGGCAGCAAAGTCTGTGAGACTCTTATTTTCAACAAACCACCAGAAAACCAGCAGTGGTGCTGTGGTTCAAGTGGTAGAGTGTTTGCCTTGAGCCGAAGAGCTGAGGGAAGCGCCCAGGCCCAGAGTTCAAGCTCCTGGACTTAAAAAAATAAAAACTGAGCGACAGCGCCCAAGCCCAGAGTTCAAGCTCCTTGACTGACAAAACTGAAAACAAAAACCCAACCAATCAACAACTACAAACTAGGGTTGGAGGTGTGACTCACTTACTTAATAAACTCCAATTAGCGTTGGGAATGTGGCTTAGTGGTAGAGCGCTTGAAGCCCTGGGTTCGATTCCTTAGTACCATACAAACAGAAAAAGCCCGAAGTGGTGCTGTAGCTCAACTGGTAGACTGCTAGCCCTGAGCAAAAGCAGCTCAGGGACAGTGTGCAGGCCCTGAGTTTAAGTCCTAGGACTGACAAACTAAAAATCCAAACCAAATCAAACAAAACTCCAATTAAATAAAATTCAAGGCCTGGGTGCTCTCCCCATGAGCTCTTCTGCTCAAGGTTAGTGCTCTACCACTTTAAGCCACAGCACCACTTTAGATTTTCTGGTGGTTAATTGGTGCTAAGACTCTTAATGGACTTTCCTGCCTAGGCTGGCTTTAAATTGTGACCCTCAGATCAATGCCTTGCCCCCCCAATTTTTTTAAGCTGGATGCAGCAGTTCAAATCTATAGTCTCTGTTACTAGTTGGAGGCCAGTCTGGGCAATTTAGTAAGATCTGTTTGTAAAGGAATACTCATCCCATGTTTTGCATTCCCAAGGTATATTGCTAATACAAACACCTGTAGCAATCTTGTTGTCTTATTACCAAATACATCTAGAGCACAGAAGAAATTAACTTCATTAAAATGAACTTACTGTCTCCAAAGCTATCATCACCTCTTCTAGGTGGGTAGTCATCAAAGCTGTCTGTAGCAGGACGGGCTCTCCAATCAGTGTCTGTTTTGTCAGAATCTCGATTTCTATCTCGGCCAAAGGAGCGATCATCCCTGTCTATAGATATAGCAAAACAAAAAAGGTAAGTTAGTTTATGGAGACTGCAGTTTTTCTTTTTTTGTTGGTTATGGGGATTGAACTCAGGACCTAGGTGCCGTTGCTGAGCCTTTGCACTCAAGGCTAGCTAGTGTTCTACCATTTTGAGGCACAGAAACACTTTCTGCAGTTTCTTACATACAGTACATAAAAGTCTCATACCAGTTTCTCTTTTGTAGCTCATAGGCATCATTAAAAGGTCCAAATACCCCAAACACAGCTAGGCTGACAATCTATTGTCATCAGTCAGTGCTTCTCAAAAGTTGACACTAACATTTGAGGATCATTCTTTAAAGTCATTATAGGACTAATCTCTGGATTCACCTATTAGAGATTAGTAGCCCTCCAGCATTTCTTTTTTTGACAACACAAAGTGCCCTCAAACACTATCAAAATCCTGCTGAAGAAACAGGTTAAGAATTTGTTAACTCTAGATGCAGGTGGATCCACAATTATATTAAAATGTTCTGGGAAAGGATGCTTCTAATTTTAGATTGAAATTTCTATCAATTTGCTTACCTTTATCCTGTGCTTGGTCAGCAACATCTACCCGAATTCTCCTGTTACCTAGGGACTGAAAGCACAGGACCATTAACAAATCTTTAACTTATTATGCTACTAGTAGCGTAAGTGACCTTAAACATCTGAGCATAGCAGCAGCACCAGGGAAAGGAATCTAATCAACTCCCAGTTTGTTGGCTTCAGAATAAAGACAAATTTTAGTTGGTCTTTTTTTTTTTTTTCTTTTTGTAGGGTTGGTCTTGGGTCTTGAACTCAGGGCCTACGCACTGTCCCTGAGCTCTTTTGCTCAAGATTAGTGCTCTACCACTTTTGAGCCACAGCGCCATTTCAGGTTTTCTGGTGATTAAATGGAGATTAAGTCTTATGGAGGCCGGGAGCTATTGGTTCATGCCTGTAATTCCAGCTAATCAGGGGGCTGAGATCTGAGGATTGCAGTTCAAAGCCAGCCCAGGTTTTTTTGGGGGGCAGTCCTACAGCTTGAACTCAGGACCTGGGCACTGTCCTTGAGCTTCTTTTTGCTCAAGGCTAGCACTCTTACCATGTGAGCCATAGTGCCACATCCAGCCTTTTCTGTTTATGTGGTATATTATGGAATTGAACTCAAGGTTTCATGCATGCTAGGCAAACACTGTACCACTAAACCACATTCCCAGCCCAGAGACTCTTATCTCTAATAAACTACTCAGAAAAAGCCAGAAGTGGTGCTGTGGCTCCAGTGGTAAAGCACTAGCCTTGAGCACAGAGAGGCTCCAGGCAGAGCCCAGGCCCTGAGTTCATGCCTGAGGACAGGCAAAAAAAGTATCAAGGACATTCCTACTAGGCTGGCTTCAAACCTCAATCCTCAGACCTCAGCATCCTTCTGAGTAGCTAGGATTATAGGCGTGAGTCACTAGTGCCCTGATTAAGTTGGTCTTTATTGGCCTGCATACAGTTTCTTTTGCTCAAGGCTAGCTTCTACCACTTGAGCCACAGAACCACTTCTGGCCTTTTCTGTTTATGTGGTACTGAAGAACTGAACCCAGGGCCTCATGCATACTAGGCAAGCACTCTACCACTGAGCCACATTCCCAGCCTTAGTCTTATTTATTTATTTATTTTTTGGGTCAGTTGTGGGGGTTGAACTCAAGGCCTGGGTGCTATCCCTGAGCTCTTCTTCTCAAGACTAGTGTTTTACCACTTTGAACCATAACTCTACTTCTAGTGTATGAATGATTAATTAAGAGTTTCATGGGGACTTTTCCGCCTGGGCTGGCTCCTAACTACAATGCTCAGATCTCAGCCTTCTGAGTAGCTAGGATCATAGGCGTGAACCACGGGGACTTGGCTTAAATTGGTCTCCTTGAGTATGAAAGTCAACTATTATAGTTATTATTTTTTACAAAGTTAAACATCACAGAATAGGCTGTCTCAATCCCCTAAGGTACTGGGGTTTGAATTCAGAGCCTTGAACTCGCTAGTAGGCAAGTATACTCCACCACTTGAGCCATGTCCCTAACTCTTTGTGCTTTATCAGTTCTCAAATGGGGGCTCACATTGAAGCCTTGTTGTCCTGGATCTCAACCTTACTATTTATGCTTCTTATGTAACTGGAATGATAAGACATGTGCTTTGTTACTTGAGCCACACTGCCAGCCCTCAGGCTTTCCTCTCCCATTTCCTAGTAGAATCTACTGTTCAAGAAAATTAAAGAATTTTAGTTAAAACACTCCAAGTTAGTGGGAAAACCAGATGTGGCGCTGTGGCTCAAAGTGGTAGAGGACTAGCTTTGAATGAGAAAGTTCTGGGACAGTTCCCAGGCCCCGAGTCAAGCCCCATGACTGACAAAATGAAACAAAACACCCAAATGGTATTAAGTGCCAATATGGTAAAATAGCAACACAGTAAACTTGAAATAATAATTTCATGGAAAATGTTCATACAATCTAAGAAGCCAAGGTATGATGCATCAAGCAGTCAAGAGTCTGAGGCAGGACTTCTAACCCAACCTGGGCCATACAATAAGGTGATCTCACAACCCCACCCCAGATCTCAATTAAAAACAACAGATCCAAGAAGAAACACTCTGTAATAAGTCTAGGCTAACAGGGATTAAAAAAAATCCACAGGAGCTGGTAAGGTGGCTCAGTGGTAGAGCGCTTGCCTTGCATGCCTGAGGCTCTGGGTTTGATTCCTCAGCACCACATAAGCAAAAAGAAAAAAGCCGGAAGTGGCGCTGTGGCTCAAGTGGTAAGAGTGTTAGCCTTGAGCTGAAGAGCTGAGGGACAGCTCCCAGGCCCAGAGTTCAAGCCCCATGACTGGACCCTTCCCCCCCACCCAAAAAAAAAATCCACACACCTCCAACATCTTAAAAAAAAAAAATCCCATACTATTATAATGCTTTGAAAATTAACTAGATAATGCTTTTCTGAGTGGTACTGGAAACTAGATATGCTAGGCAAACACACACCTAAGACAATACCCTTAAATACTAAAGCACCGGCTCGGGGAGTGGCTCAAGTGGTAGAGTATTAAACTGGCTAACATGATTTTTCTATTTGCCTTTATCAAGTCAGTTTTTTTTTTTTTTGGTTGGTCGTGGGGCTTGAACTCTGGGCCTGGGCGCTGTCCCTCAGCTCTTCAGCTCAAGGCGAGTGCTCTACCACTTGAGCTACAGCGCCCCTTCCGGTTTTCTGGTGGTTTATTGGAGATAGGAGTCTCACGGTCTCTCCTGCCCTCTCCTGCCCTGGCTGGCTTTGAACGGAGATCCTCAGATCTCAGCCTCCTGAGTAGCTAGGATTACAGGCGTGAGCCACCAGCACCCGGCCAAGTCAGATTTTTTTGAATGAACAAAGCTCTCCACACTGGGGCAAAACAAGTGAATGAATTAGTGTGAGATTTGATTGGAGACCTAGTATGTGGTAGTTTTCCTCCACAATTTTTCATCTACCTACTTCCCTGAATTAGCGGAGCCACTCACTGAAGTGTTGTTAGATAGAGAATGTTGAAACAATATTTTTAACTATCCTAGGCTTTTCTTTGTGAATTCAGAAATCTTTGAATCACTATTGACTCAGCCTGAAAAAAAAAAATATTTTTTACAACATCAGACTTGTAAGCTTCTACTCTTATCTCTATCCTTAATTTCTTTACCTCTTCATTGAGACTCAGGGCACTGAGTAGGGAGTCCAAGTCCTCAAATTCAGCATAACCAAAACCTTTCAACCTTTCTGGGTTGCTGGGTTCACGTGGTAAACGAACTGCACTGATCTGAGGGATTAAAGAAATAAAGTTTGGTTATTCATACAAGGATAACTATATAGTCAATGAATTCTTTTGTGCTATAGATTGAAGACTGTAGTATTTGTCCTCTTACATATTTTCAATCATATGAATTTAATTAAAAAAAAAAAAGAACGACTGTATTGCTTATATTTTTGTTTTTTACTTTGTGTTTTCATTTACAAGCACTTGTTTATTCCATAATTCTTTTAGTCCCTATCCTCAAATGCTTATACTTACATTTAATCCTCTAAAGAATTCCTTAATGGACTCTTCAGTTACATCATAGGGCAGGTTCCCCAGAAAAGCAGTGTAGGGTGGCGATTTGGGAAGACGGCTCCAGTCGATATTGGGTTCCCGAGCAGCCCGTGGAGCAGTGGGTAGGATGGAACGGTCAATTGGAGGTGCCTTATACATATCATCATCATTACTATGCCAAACTGTTGAAACTAGAAGAACCATTTAAAAAATTATTAGATGAAATCTTACTAGTGTCCTAGTAAGACTATTTGTCCTATTACACACAGGATACAAAACAAACAAGAGGACACATGCTACATTTCTAGCAATAAAGGCTCTATTGCCGGGCACTAGTGGCTCATGTATATAATCCTACCTACTCAGGAGAATGAGATTTGAGGATCCTGGTTTGAAGCCAGCCCAGGCAGGAAAGACTATGAGATCCTCCTCTCCAATTAAACACCAGAAAACCAGAAGTAGAGCTATGGCTCAAGTGGTAGAGCACTAGCCTTGAGTGTAAAAGTTCAGGGACAGTGCCCAGGTCTTGAGTTCAAGTCCCATGACCAAAAAGCCAAAAAGCTCTATTAACCCAGGTGTCTAGAAGTGGTGTGGCTCAAGTGGTAGAGTGCTCATCTTAAGCTAAAGAGCTGAGGACGGCACCCTGGCCCCAGAGTTCAAGCTCCATGAACGATAAAAAAAAAAAAAAAAAAAAAAAAGCTAGGTGTCTATGATTCATGCCTTTTATCCTAGGTATTCAGAAAGCTCTGGGTATCACCATTCAAAGCTAGCAGAAGTAGGAAACTTTATCTCCCAATATCAAAAAGTTAGAAGTGGCACCATAGCTCAAGAGGCAGTGTGCTATTCTTGAGTGAAAAAGCTAAGCCAAGCGCTGGTGGCTCACGCCTGTAACCCTAGCTACTCAGGAGGCTGAGATCTGAGGATCACAGTTTCAAGCCAGCCCAGGCAGGAATGTCCACGAGACTCCAATTTAACCACCAGAAAACAGGAAGTGGTGCTGTGGCTCAAGTGGTAGAGCAGTGGCCTTGGGCTGAAGAGCTCAGGGATAGTACCCAGGCCCAGAGTTCAAGCCCCATGACCACCACCACCAACAACACTAAGAGACTATGCCTAAGACTCTGGAGTTCAAACTCCAGTTTAAAAAGAAAGGAAAAAAGAAAAAAGAAAAAAAAAGGGAAAAAATTCTAGCTTCAAATAAAACTCATAAATGTGCACTTCACTTATCAACAGTGAAGGAAAGGTATGGCCTATAAAAATGTCCTGTTTTCATTATGAAACTTACTCTTTCAGTCTGCAACAGTCTTTATTAAAAGAAAAAATGGTGGTAGAATTTTGTACTTTTAATAGTATTTCTATTATTTTATTGCTGTTACAGAGGTAATGTACAGAGGGATTACAATCACTTGAGTCAGAAATTGAGTACATTTCCTTTCATACAGTATCTTCTTGTTCCCTCATTCTCTCCCATCTCCACCCACGAGTTGTACAGTTAGTTCACTTTTATCAGAGTCCAGTGAGTTCTACTGCCACACTTTTCTACCTCTTTCCTCTTGAGTTCTGTACCTTCCTCTCCCAACCTCCCTGAAGTTATATACTTGAAATACACCATACACAAGCAAAGACAGAATCATCAAAAACTAAACCAGAAGTGGAACTATGGCTCAAGTGGTACAGCACTAGCTTTGAACAAAAGATGCTCTGGGACAAGCCAGGAGTTGGTGGCTCACACCTGTAACCCTAGCTACTCAGGATGCTGAGATCTGAGGATCATGGTTCAAAGCCAGCCTGGGCAGGAAAGTCTGTGAGACTCTTATCTCCACTAAACCACTCAGAAAACCAGAAGTGGCGCTGTGGCTCAAGTAGTAAAGGGCTTGCCTTGAGCTGAAGAGCTGAGGTACAGCGCCCAGGCTAAGTTCAAGACCCACGACCGAGAAAACAAAACAAAACCTGAAAAAACTTGTGTTTCTCTTCAAGAGTATCCTCTTTTAGTTTAGTCTCACTGTATGTGAATATATAGAATACTGTATAATTGATCATATCCCAGTGTGATTTAGAGCTCATTTCTGCACGAGAACATGTGCCATTTGTCTCTCTGAGCTTGGCTTACCTTCTTAACATGATCTGTTCTAGTTCCATCCAATGAATAATAATTCTCTCTCTCTTTTTTTTTGGGTCTGGTAGTGGGGCCTGAACTCTGGGCCTGGGCGCTGTCCCTCAGCTCTTCAGCTCAAGGCTAGTGCTCTACCACTTGAGCCACAGCACCACTTCTGGCTTTTACACATAGCCACCCAAGATACAAAAACAGCCCAGGAGGAATAAAACAGGAAGACACAAAAATTAAGACAAAAACTTACCTTCCCAGCTATCCTGAAGGCAACGACCTTGCCCAATGACTCCTCCCTGTCTCCCACCATAATTACTATTCTCATTCCTTTCTCTAGACCATTCTTTAAACCTTAAGGTCTTACCAATAGCTTCCAGAACTAATTGTTTCTTAGCTGACAATATACAGCTTATAGGTTACACTGCAACATCACTTATGAAATAAACAGAATTTTAGACCTATAAGGAATTTAAACCTCGATTATAATACATGAAGTTACATAAAATGAAGAACTTCTTAGCTTACGATACTGGAATTCTAAGTGCAATGAAAAATTTACCATCTCCTTCCAGATCGTCTGTTTCATCAGCCCAGTTGACCGGTTTGGGGGCATAGGTGCTTCCTCCACCAGTTCCCCCATCCTCAGCCAGAAAGTCTGTTAGGGAGATAGTCTTCCCCTTCTTATTCTTCTTTTTTGCTGTTTTAGACAAGAAAAACATTATTTATGGATACTCAGAAATCTGGTTGTTACAATGTAAGTACACTTACAAAGGCCCACCGAAAGATTAGATTTTTGGCACATTCATATATTAATATCATTCAGATATAAATATAAAAAAGCATAATATAACATTCCAGAAAGGTTCTAATAGTAAGTAGAGGCTGAGGCAGGAAGATGTTGAATTTAAGGCCAGCCAGGTAGCACAATAAGATCTCATCTCAGTAAGCTGCAAGAGCTGGGTGCTGGTAGCTCACACCTGTAATCCTAGCTACTCAGGAGGCTGAGATCTGAGGACTGCAGTTCAAAGCCATCTCCAGTAAACCACTAGAAAACTGGAAGTGGCTCTAGTGGTAGAGTGCTAGTCTTGAGCTGAAGAGTGGACCAGAGTTCAAGCCCCACAACCAACAAAAAAAAGTTGCAGGAAACTGATTGAGGAAATCTAACCTAATCAGATGGTGTTGAGGAATCTAATAGGCAAATATTCTACCACTGATTTACTATATACATTCTCTCAGCCTCACTTGATTTTTTTTTTTTTTTTTTGGGTGCCAGTCCTGGAGCTTGAACTCAGGGCCTGGGTACTGACTCTTGAGCTTTTTTGTTCAAGGTTAGTGCTCTGCCACTTGTATCACAGCTCCATTTCCAGCTTTTTTTTTTTTTGCTATGTTATACACAGCTTCCTGAACATTTAAGTGGGTAAGAGTCTCACAGACTTTCCTGCCTTGGGATGGCTTTGAACTGTGATCCTCAGCTCTCAAACTTCTGAGTAGCTTGGATTACAGAAGCGAGCCACCAGGGCAGGGCCCAGTCCATTTGACATTTTTAACTATTTCTATTTAAGACTGGTTATTCTATTCACTGCTCCTATAAAATATTCTATATACGCCTTAAAAAAATTCTCCGTATAGTAACTATTTAATAATCACCAGATTTTAATTTTCCACATAGTGTTAGGTATATAAAAAGAGGTAGCTGAGTAAGAACAGCCCCACGTACATGGTATATATGCCTTTTTTATGTGCTACGGTTTGTATTCAGGATCTTAGTCTTACCCTCAACCCTATCCTATTTTGCTGTTTTGGGGATAGAGCTTGGTATTTTTGCCCTGGACCAATCATTCTATTTATACTTTCTGTATTTTTTTTTTGCCGGTCGTGGTCTTGAACTCACGGCCTGGGCGCTATCCCTCAGCTCTTCAGCTCAAGGCTAGCGCTCCACTACTTAAGCCACAGTGAGCCACAGTGCCACTTCCAGCATTTTATGTTTATGTGGTGCTGAGGAATTGAACCCAGGGCCTTATGCATGCAAGGCAAGCACTCTACCACTGAGCCACATTCCCAGCCCTACTTTCCGCATTTTTGCAAATGTCAGGCATGGACCACCATGTCAGCTATTGGTTGAGATAGGGACTTACTAATTTTTTGCCTGGGCTGATCTTTCTCAATTTCTGCCTCTCCAGCAGCTAGAATCACAAGTGTGAACCACTGTGACTAGATCTATAGCACTTCTAGGGAATAGAAATCATAGTTATCAGTTTAAAGAGAAGGAAAGCTAAGACTAGGTTAATTATCAGATACCAGTTGGAGAGTAATTAAATCGCAGGGCCTTTTTTGTGTGTGTGTTGGCTGTAGTGCTTGAACTCAGGGCCTGGGTCCTGTCCCTGGGTTCTTTTGCTCAAGGCTAGCGCTCTTAGAGACACAGTGCCACCTATGGTTTTCCAGTGGTTAATTGGAGATAGTTTCATAAGGACTTTTCTGCCTGGGCTGGCTTTGAATGAGAATCCTCAGATCTCAGCCTCCTAAGTAGCTAGGATTATAGGTGTGAGCCATTGGCGCCTGGACAGGACTTTCCTTATTATATCACATGGACCCGCATCCTGGAAGCCCTGTTGCATACTACCATAGCCATGGCAAAATGTTGTTATATTCAGTGTTATTTGAATAGCTAAAATTAATATTCCCTAAATATCTTCTTCTCTACCTTACCACAATATATTAAGATATTGGCACTAAAAGGAAAGCTCAAGAAAACCTTAACCATCAACAAATCTAGTGAGCTGACCCTGGCACTCTATCTTCAGAACTTCATGTGCGTCAGAACCAGAGCTTGAGCTCAGTACCCCATCACTTGACCCATGCCTCCAACCTAGAATTGTGCTGGTTAACTGGAGACAGAGTATCCTGGACTTTCCTGCCACAGCTGGCTTCAAATCCTGATTCTCAGATCCTAGGTTCATTGAGTAGCTAGGTTTATAGGCAAATTGCCCAGCTTCCTCAGAACTTCTAAGATAGTACAACCAACAGTTAGTTTAGAAGAATAGAGGGGCTTAAGACAAGTTCTAGAACTGACTCAACTGTAGCCACTAAATGATTAAGAAAAAAGACCTGGAGTAGTGGCACAAACCTGAAATCCTGGCCCTTCTGTGGTCTGAGAGAGGATCACATATTTGAAGCCAGTCTAAGCTATATAGCAAAAATCTACCTCAAAATAAATAAAGGTGAGATGCTGGTGGCTCACATTTGTGATCCTAATTATAATAGGAAGCCAAAATGAAGGATCTCAGTTCCAAGTCAGCCCAGATAGCAAAGTCCATGAGATATCACTTGCTTAATAGAAGGCTATTCTCCCAAATTCAACTGCTGGGAAATAAAGACGACCAGTCTGCTATGCTACACAGTTTCCTGAACATAAAATGAACCTGAAGCATTATGATCTTACACCAAAATAAAAGAATCTGGAATTATTCTGCCCTTTGCTCTGAATTTGGCTTGAATCAACTTTTGTGCACTAGGGTTTCATAATCCTTATTCTTTAGACTCTGCCCTGTTGTTTAGCATTTTCACTTAAGGCTGGTGTGCTTTATCACTTGAGCCATATCTCTAACTTTCTTTTTTTTTCTGGTTAATTGTACATAAGAGTCTCTTGGATTTGTCTACCTGGACTGGTTTTGAACCCTGATATTCATATCTCAGCCTCTTGAGTAGCTAGGCATGAGCTACCAGTGTCTGGCAACCTCTTGACACTTTGACAACAGAAGTTTCACACTTCATTTGAAATTCAAAAATAAACTTCATAGTAAATCACATAATTTAAAAATTATTTTCAGAGCTGGGCGCCGGTGGCTCATGCCTGTAGTCCTAGCTACTCAGGAGGCTGAGATCTGAGAATCGCGGTTCAAAGCCAGCCCGGGCAGGAAAGACTGTGAGACTCCATCTCCAAAAAACCACTAGAAAACCGGAAGTGGCGCTGTAGCTCAAGTGGTAGAGTGCTCGCCTTGAGCTGAACAGCTGAGGGACAGCGCCCAGGCCCAGAGTTCAAGCCTCATGACCAACAAAAAAAAAAATTATTTTCAGATCATACACATGTAATTCTGAGGATCTAAAATTTCAGGCTTGCCCCCTAAACAGCAAGAGCCTGTTTCAAATACAAGAAAAAAAGGGATTTAAAAAAGTAGAATAGGAAATGGCGCTGCAGCTCAAGAGGTAGAGCACTTGCCTTGAGCTGAAGAGCTGAGGGATAGCGCCCAAGCCCAGAGTTCAAGCCCCACGACCGACAAAACAAAAACAAGAACAAAACAAAAAGTAGAATAAGGGGTTGGGAAGGTGGCTCAGTGGTAGAGTGCTTGCCTTGCATGCAAGGCAAGGGTTTGATCCCTCAGCAACTCATAAGCAGAAAGTCAGAAATGGAGCTGTGGCTCAAGTGGTAGAGCACTAACCTTGAGCAGAAGAGCTGAGGGACAGAGTCCAGGCCCCACAACTGACAAAAAAAGAAAAAAGAAAAAAGAAAAAAGTAGAATAGGGGGCTGGGAAGGTGGCTCAGTGGTAGAGTGCTTGCCTTGCGTGCATGAGGCTCTGGGTTTAATTCCTTAGCACCACACAAGCAGAAAAAGCTGGAAGTGACAAGTGGTAGAGCACTAGCCTTGAGCCGAAGAGCTGATGGACAGCACCCAGGCCCCACAACTGACTAAAAAAAAAAAAAAAAAAAAAAAAAAAAAAAAAATCAGTAAAAATATTTGTATCATGCTGCTTATGATATTAACCAAGAAATGATGTCATCCAAATCCTTCATGCCTTCTGTTCCTCTAATACCTGGGCAAGTGCATATTTCAACAGAATTCTCTGCTATGCAGTACTGTTTAATGTTCATTGTCCCCAGACATTATAAAGTGGCTGCAATAAATGGAGACCTCAAGATTATCAGATACAGTGTGTAAAATATGCTTCCTCTATTTTTATTCCCAGAAATGTTTCCTATTATTACTTCATTAGCATAAAGGCACCAAACAATAGATGCTGGGAATAATAACCTAGACTAGCAGCTATCACTTGATTTCTAAAGAGAGGACACTTATGGTCAATAAAGTTGACTTGTGAACCTGAATTGGTGCTGTGGCTCAAGTGGTTGGACCCTAGCCTTGAGCTGAAGAACTCTAGATCTAGAGTTCAAGACCCATGACCAACCCTCCCCCCGCAAAAAACACAAAAAAGCTAAGAGAGCAAAACAAAAACCAAAGGCCCTGAGCTCAAATCCCAGCATAGCATAGAAATGTTCACAGCAGCACGAACAATCCAAATGCCTACGATCAGATTAATACACAAAACAGTGGTATATTCATAGAATGGAGTATTATTTGGCAATAAAAAGGGAGCACTGAGACATTCTATAATGTGGATGACAGACAAAACAGCTAGTCACAAAACATTATATATCATATAAAACTACATATATATGTTCAGAGTAAGTAAACACAAAGAAATAGAAGGGTGGCTGGGGAGAAGGGGAAGTGACTACTGAGATAAGGTGCTTCCTTTTGAGCAATGAAATGTTTTCAAATTAAGTGACGATGGCTGAATTTTCCTAAATGGTAAAGTAAGTGTCTACCATGTACCTCCCATGTTCCTTTCAATCATTAGCAGTGACCCCTACCCCAAATACCAAATTGTACACTATTTACTTATAATTTGTTTTTTTAAAGA